GGGCAGCAACCCCACCTGCAGGAAGAAGCTCAGATCCCCTCGTGGTTCCTGGAGGTCCCTCTGGGACAGGGACACACACACACACTTTGTTTGCAGAGCCCAGAGCTAATGGTGGGGTGTCTCAGCACCAGATTTCAAGGGGGGGATCTGAAGGACACATCCCCTGAACTAACTGTTTGCTGGGAAAGGGGAGGAAACAGCAGGGCTCGTGGCTGCTGCTCCTCACCCTGCTCCCAGCTCCACCTGCCACAGGCCTCTGTCCTACTGCACAAGTGACTCCATACCATCCTCTCCATCCATACCTGTCTGCACTAGTCACGGGGCCAAGACACGATGTGGGTTTGGTTTTTAAATTCTGATGATGAAAATTTACCTAAAGTTACACAGAGACAATTCGGGTGAAGCAGAGTCCTTTGCGTGTGCGCCGCTTTCCCTAAGTGGAGGAAGGCAGGAAGAGTTCAGTGAAAGAGGAGATGAGGCTGTAGTAGGACTTCTCATCGTCCGTCAGGCCTGCGTTGCCTGGTCTGATCACCACGGCCACGTGAGTATCCGCTTCCTCGGCTGCGTTGGCTTCTGAAACAGAGGGGGGGAGAGTGGAGATGAGATGTGCTTATCAATCAACCTCTCGTTAAGGCCTGGAGATGCCCCAAAACACCCAAGTTTTGGGTGCTTTCAAAGGTTGAGACTGAAAGAACAGCATTTGCACATGGCGTTGCAAGGCTCTAAGCCAGGGACCAGCTCCCGGGAGACCTTCTGTGGATCACTGGAGCTGCTGCCTGAGGTGAGGCTGGGGGCAGAGTGGCTGGAGCTGCCTGGCAGAAAAGGCCCTGGGGGTGTTGGTGGACACCGGCTGAACAGGAGCCAGCAGTGTGCCCAGGTGGCCAAGAAGGCCACCAGCATCCTGGCCTGTGTCAGGAGCAGCGTGGGGAGTAGGACTCAGGAGGTGATGGTCTCCCTGTGCTGGGCACTGGTGAGGCCTCACCTCGAGGGCTGGGTCCAGTTCTGGGCCCCTCACTACATGAAAGACTTTGAGGGGCTAGAGCAGGTCCAGAGAAGGGCAACAAAGCTGGTGAGGGGTCTGGAGAACAAGTCTCCTGAGGAGAGGCTCAGGGAGCTGGGGGTGTTCAGCCTGGAGAAGAGGAGGCTGAGGGGAGACCTTATTGCTCTCTCCAACTCCCTGAAAGGAGGGTGTAGCCAGGGGGGGTCGGTCTCTGCTCCCAAGGAACAGGTGATGGGACAAGAGGAAACGGCCTCAAGTTGCACCAGGGGAGGTGCAGCTTGGAGATTAGGAAAAATTTTTACACAGAAAGGGTTATGAAGCCTTGGAATGGGCTGCCCAGGGAAGGGGTTGAGGCACCATCCCTGGAGGGGTTCAAAAGATGGGTTGACATAGTGCTTAGAGACATGGTTTAGTGATGTGGGGGGAAGGTGTTTTGTATGGTTTTCTTTTGGGTTTTTTTTTTATCAGAGTTAGGTTGATGGTTGGACCAGATGATCTTAAAGGTCCCTTCCAACTGAGACAATTCTATGAGAGGATGGGAGCTGGCTGCCTCCCCATCTCCTCCCCTCTCCCAGCTGGTGGCCACCCAAGGCACCGTGCAGGCAGCACCTACTGGCAGCTCGATTCCTGTCACGAAGAAGCTGGGCTGTGGCACTAGTGGCTCCAACACACCCTGCTGAGAGTCACTTCTCACAAGCTTCCTTTGCTCCCCAAGCACAGCAAGAGGCCAACTGAAGACAATAAAGGGAAAAGGAGGTAATTACAAGCTCCCACCAACTCTGCTGCCAGGGCTCTCTCAGGAGGAGACAAGGGCTAACTCCTGGAGACTGAGCTGGCTTAGACTTGAGATCACCACCGAGTGCCATTTCTGCCAGAAAGATGTTTCCAGCAAAGGCAGGAAAATACATCAGCTTCCTCAGTCTGGCTTTCCAGGGGGCAAGTCTTGGTGACCAGAAACGATGTCTTCCTGCTGGTGCCAAGGGGCACAAAGAACCAGCCACCACGTGTGCCACACAGCAGCACAGGAGACATCATCTGCTCCCCCAAGCACAGGCTATGAAAACCACTGCCCCTGTTTGTAACTGGAGCACGCTGCCTGCTTCAGCGCACGCTCCGCTCAGCTTTAGCAGCATCTCCTTGGGTGCTTGGTGCAAGGGCAGGTTTTCTACTTGACCTATTTTCCCCTCATTGCAAAACTGCTCCCAGATATCCCGCTGCTGTGTGAGAGGCTGGATGTGTAGAGGAAGGAGCCTGGCAGCAGCTCGGGGGATGCCACCAAAGAGAGGTGGTCTCTGCAGCATTTCTGGGGTGCTGGTGGTGAATGGGTGGCACGTGTTTAAAGAGCACCTGCCTCCCTTGCACAGGTGAGAACCAACAGGACTGGCAGGCCACCTACCTCGAGGGACATCTGTCAGGAAGAGGATGTTGTTGGTGGCACACCCAATACTGGCCGCAATCCTTCTGTAGCTTTCGCTTTCTACCTTGGGGCCTATTTTGGTATCAAAGTGGCCATCAAAGAGCTGAAAGAGAGAGAAAAACAAAGGCAGTTGCTGAGCGCCATGTGAAAACCTCACTCCTGAGCAACACATAGAATCATGGAATGCTGTGGGGTTGGAAGGGACCTCTGGAGACCATCTAGTCCAACCCCCTGCCAGAGCAGGGCCACCCAGAGCAGGTCCCACAGGAACGTGTCCAGGTGGGTTTGAATGTCTCCAGAGAAGGAGACTCCACCACCTCCCTGGGCAGCCTCTGCCAGGGCTCTGCCACCCTCACAGCAAAGAAGTTCCTCCTCATCTTTAGGTGGAACTTCTTATACTCAAGTTTGTGCCCATTTCCTCTTGTCCTGTCCCTGAGCACCACTGAAAAAAGACCAGCCCCATCCTCCTGACACCCTCCCTTGAAGTATTTCTAAGCCTTGATCAGATCCCCCCTCAGCCTTCTTTTCTCCAGACTCAAAAGACTCAAGTCCCTCAGCCTCTCCTCCTAAGGGAGATGCTCCAGGCCCCTAATTATCCCCCTCCAGGCCCCCAATTATCCCCCTCCAGGCCCCCAAACATCCCCTTTCTGTAGCATACTCAGCTGGCTGAGCTTAGCTCCTGTGGGTCAAACCCACCACCCCACCTTCCTGTCCCAGACTCTGTTCATGAAGCGTTCTGGCCAGGGCAGTTGTGGGAGGGAAGCGCTCTGCAGGGGGAGAAGCTGTAAGGAAAGTGAGAAGGCTATCTACCTCTAGGATATCACCTTCTGTAGAGTATCCGAAGAGAAGCTTCTGGGCTTCGATGCTGCCCGAGGAGTAGATATAGACCTTCATGCCTGCTTCCCGCCACTTCCTGATGGCTGGAACCACGTCTTCAAAGATTCTGGAGTAAAACAGGGCAGCAGGTTAAGGGCAAACCCAGAGGCACCTGGAGGAACACCTTTAGCCAGGCACAACAGCAGCAGTCCCATTAGTTCGTAAGGGGACTTCATTCTCAGTCTGCTCAGGGGAGTCTGTATCAGCAGCTGGTGAGATGTTCTTAGCTCCAGCCAACCCAGCAGCTTATTT